GGCCTCCATACTCTTGTGCTTTCTTGTGTTGTCCCGGTATGGAGCTCTTCTTTCTGTTGCCTTCCAATTGATCTCGTGTCCAGTCCGTGCGATTAGTTCCGCTAGTTCTGATCTTTCAGTGTCCGCTTCACTGAGCGGAGCAGAGTAAACTGCGGACGCCTATCTCTGGTCGAATGCGACATCTTAAGTTGATTTCTAGTGCATTTTGGCCTGAACCCCTAATTTCTATGACGTTGTGCCCGTCTGCCCAGCTTAGATTTTAAAATTGTAAGTCAATTACAAAGAACTCTGCATATTTTCCCATTAAAAATGACAGTTTCAAGTCCCTACTGAATCGGTAAGTAACTAATACTACACAGATTAATTAATCCGAGTTCAATGATGTAAGCCGACTATCAAAATCCCTTAGCACCTGGCAAAAAAAAATTGGCTCAATTAATACGAACATAACATTGCTCATTCTTGTTTTTGCATAGTCCATATAATATCATATATCATTTAATAGAAACTCACAGCGCCTTGAAATATTCTATTCTCTGTAACCCTTTCACTTTACAGCTGTTAAAAAAGTTGGTCTCTGAGGTAAAGCTCTGGTTACTTTCCTTCAAACAGTGCAACCTGGATTTATTTCGCCTTTAAATATAGCTAATTAGAATCAATGTATGGCTAAAAATGAGATCCTTATTTGCACAATATTAAGCAAGTGGAGGTGGGTGGCCTATGTGATATAAAATGGTACTTCTCTTTACTTGTTCTTCCTGTGTAAATTAATAACTAAAAAATATGCAATATTCTTACGTCTCAATAATTATACAAACATCCTTGACTATAGGCTTCATAAACTGTTGCTTTAGCTTCCAATGAGGCTGCCTCTGTGCATAAGCTCTCGGACTACAATGAAAACTTTACATAATAATCTATTTGTAAATAAGGATTTCTTCCAGTATTGATCAGTGGAATCTCAGTATTGTTTTGCCCATGATAAGGTGTTATACTTTTTGAAATTGTAAATGAAGTGTTTTTTAAACTGCTACTCTTCCATAAATATCGTATTTTTATAGTCTAAATTTAACTGTACGTTTACTAATTGGGATATGGCGTTATTTGTTCAAAAGAGTTTGTATCTAAACGTAGATTCTTTCCATATTTTAATGGAATTAGAGGGAATATAAGGTTTAAGTTTTTGTATCTGCTAGCTCAATGTTTAAGGATACAATTCTTAGAGAATAATTTTCAATAAACTATCAATTTAATAAACACTTGCTCTTAAGTATTTATCTAAACTCGTCTTCATTACTTTGTCTTGTTGCCAGCGATATCTAGCTAGGCGTACCTTGTTCGAGACTCTATGAGATGGTAGATATGATAATTCCCAGCGTTATCATTATTTCCAAAAGTTAAAAACCGTTTAAAGTCAAATAATATCAAATTTGCTATATTTATCCTAAATTGTGCTAGAATGTTTGCAGATAGTAGACGATGTTACTAGAGGAAATATTAAGCGCAATAAAATTTATATGTACCCAATATCTAGGAAGGAGAATTTTCAATTTTTTAAATCTGAATTTATTCCTATTTAATTTTTTCAAGGTTATATAAATAAATATATTTTTCCCCATTACATCTTTTTTATATTAAAGGCTAAAAGGTGTTAGGTCAAGCTTATGCTTCAAAACTTAAATTTCTATGAAACAATCATACTCTGATTTAGCTAGATATTAAATGAGAATGCAAGGATTCCTGCTGTTTGCCTCTATAATCTAAGTAGTGTCAGGTCTGATTTTCTGATGGTGAGGAGATAAAGTAGTTAAGCTGACTAACAACGTTTATTAAGGACAAAAAAATTACAGAAAACATCCTTGTGGCGGTCCTCAATATCTACGTCAAGATCCCTGAGAAGACAAAAGGGCAACTAAAGATGGAAGCATTCCCAGAAATCTTGATACGCCAGAACTAACGAATAGAAACAGATTAGTGAAGAGACAAATATACCGACGCGATAAAAAACAATTAATCCTACATGTGGATAAAGGAAGAGTAACCGTGATAATTGCCAGGAAACAATAAGCAATGAGAGTACAACGTTTCATGTGACACAAAGGGAATAACTACGAAAATCACTGAAACTCTATGCGGCATGGTTAATAATTACAAGTTCGACGGATAAATAATAAATTTACTTCTAATAAAGAATATTCGATTACCGATAGCGTACATACTACTAAAGATGCACAAAGAAGGGTTCCATTAGGGCTGATAGTCAACAAGTTTGGAGCAACACACGAATTTACACGGTTATATGTTTGATACTCAAGAAGGTAAACAACAGACTAATAAATATATTGAAACATTTTTATCAATTATCGCAAAGTATAAAAACCATAGCACTGAAAGGAACAGAATTATTGATAAGTTATTATGTAGAATCTATGTTCAGAAAATATGTGCTACTCATGGATAGATTTTTAAGTCTAATTATGGAAGCTACACTCGATCTTATTCCTTGTGCTCGCTATAGATGCTCATCCAGAGTTTGTATCAGAGCTTGAATGGCTCCGTGAATTGCAAGCTTTGTGTATGTATACACAATTTAAAAACCTATTAGCCTATCCTCCTCTGAAAATATCTACTGATCAATCAATCTCACAAAATCCAAAGAGTTTTTGAATGAATATACCCAAAGAATTCCATAGTTCCATAGTTGTATGCATAGAAACGAGAGAATTGATGCATCATGCTTCCTTTATTACTTACAATTAAATTTAGAGAGAAACCCTACCTATGAACCGTAGGGAGACCATAAACCGTGGGGCCCTTGCATCTCTCTGGAATAGTGAATTCATTTTCCACTTCTGCATTTCATCATTACTTACGCATGCTTTTAGGAGATCCTTTGGTCTAGTCTTAAGTCTTACAGTTAGACCTCTCAATAAAGGCATATATGCGTCAGTGTCATTTAAATGAACTAATATTTGTTCTACATAACTTGACCTAGCCATGACTACCAATGATCCACTTTTGTCGGCTTAATAAAGAAAAGATTATTACCGCACAAATATCCAGAAATCCTACTAATAGGACAAGCTTTCTTTGGCGGTAGCAGGGCTAGTATGAATTATAATTAACCAAACCACTCTATATCAATCTAAGTTTTTAACTTTATATTGCTAAATTGAATCTATATATGAGGTAAGATAAAACCGAATAGACGTCTTGCCCTAATTTCAACATGATACTAATATAGGAATGATAACCAGCTCTGATGATATCCATCATATGATGGACGAAAGCTCAGTCCGTTTTTACCCAAAACTGCTTCAACCTGATCGTCTTATGAAAGCCAGTCGGTTGCAGTACAACGGGATTCAACCCTCCTCTCTGGTGAGATCGACTTACAAAGCTCTCCTTTATGCACATTCATACGAAATAAAAGTCCACAAAACATTGTTATCTCAGCAGATTCATCGAAACCCATTTTCTCTTCATATCCACTATTTCGCAGTTTTACATAGGGCGTCATTTAGATATTGTACCTTAATTTCAATATTAACTTGAAGAAAGAGAGCTAGGTATGTAATAAGTGAAATTATATTAGTTAAGCCTGCTTTTGGAGAATAATGCGAAAGTAAAGTTATATAAAATGCACCATAAAACGGTGAGATTCGGATAAATTTTTGACAAATATTTTACATTTTAGTCAAATATGTTTTATTTAGAGATTAAAATATCGATACCACAAAAATAATAGATAATTATCCTTTTGGAGAGGAATAGTTTGTACTGGCTAGTAAATTAGATTTAATGTCTGGTAAATAGAGATGGTATTTTACAACTGCTACAATGATAGATAACATCTTGTACAATAATAAAGCCTAAACCATTAATTATAGTTAAAGCTAACCAAACCCACGAATTGCCCAAATAATCCAACTTGTTAATTACTAGATTTCTAAAACAATTCTTATCAAACCTTTCTATGTGTCTTTCAAAGTTTGACACACAAAAGGACGATAAGACTAAAACAAACACACCCAACAGCCGTATGCCATATGGATCAGATATAGCATCTTCGCCCAAATCACCTTTTGTATAAACTATTAGAACCATTAAGCTTAAAAACAACAAAAACTCACCCAAAACAAAAGTCTTATAACTAGAAAAGTCCTATAGGAACCAAGCGACAACACATAGTGAAAATGAGCAACTACAAACCACGAATCATGTAAACTAATATACAGGCTTGAAGCAGATATCACTATTCCAGTTATTCCTCCCAACGTAAACAGTATAATAAATGAAATAATTCATCAAACTACGGGATCTCCCAAACCAACCTAACCTGTGGTTAGCATGGATACCCATTAAATCTCATTCACACCCGTTGGTATGCCAATTAAAGCAGTAACAGCACTAAAAAACGATATTATCTTTACATCCATACTGACTGTAAACGTGTGATGAGCTCAAATAATAAACCCCAACACAGCAATCAAAAACATTGCTAATACCATACCCAAGTACCCTACCAGTGATTTTCGTTTTCTTAGTTCGGTACATATGTCACCAATCATCGAAAAACCAGGTAATATCAAAACATAAATCTCTGGGTGCCTACAAAACCAAAATATGTGTTGAAAAATTATAGAATCGCCCCCACCCAGAGGATCAAAATATAATGTTCCAAATTTACGACCAAAGAGTAACATTGTTATAGTTCCAACCAAAACTGGAATTGATAAAAATAACAAAAATGAAGTAAAATAATAACCCCACACAAACATTGGTTTACGAAGTACCCAATCTATGTACAACCTAGAATCTAAATCAGAACAAGTTCAATAAAAATAACAATTGCAGGTTATAATAAATTTCAATGCACCCAACAACCTAGATAAACCTGCTAAGTTAGCGAAATTAACATATAATCGACCCCCTACCAAAAAAATACTTTCTAGAAAGGGGTTGGTAGAATGTTCAACCAACCCCCGAGCCCAAGTACATACTAATCAACAACCTTATCATCGATGGTAGTAGAATTAATAGACTAAACGAATTAATTCGAGGAATATTCATATCACCATACCGTGTAAATATCGGTAATAATATATTACCAACCCCCCCAATTAAGATAGGCATCAAGAAAAAAAATCATAACTATGCCTTGCCTGGTTATTGTTAAATTATACAACTCAGTCAAAATAACTTTGTGATATGGACTCATTAGATTTAAACGAATTATCATACTTAGTCCTAATCCTATAAAACCAGACCATATACCCAAAAATAAATAAACAATGCTTATCTTCTTGTGGTTTAAAGAAAACAAAATAAAAATCTTTTTCATTTTCAAATTTAAAACCCTGGGGTCTATTTATTGTTTTTAAAAAAAATAGTTTAATTAAATTTATAAATCTATAGAAACTAAATATTCCACATATCTAAACATGTTATTAACAGTAACAAAACTAGTTCTCACCCTATTTGACAAACTTTATAAAACCATACTTTATCTCATAAAAAAACCTTAATATAACAACAACTAAAAAAAACAAATAATAAATTGATGACCCCCAAGAAATATCATACAGGCCCATTTATGGCAGTAAAACTATTTAAACATCCAAAACAACAAAAAAACGAATAGTAGCAAAAACCTCAACCTAAAGTTTCTCATCCTCACCCC